CTATTAAAGCGCGCGTATAGTAATACTATCTTAGTCTTAGTACGTAATTATATCTACTATATTAGTAAAGAAACCTTTCTACTAGTATTTAAAAAGGCCTATTATAAGGCTATTATACTAGAGAATATCTATAGAGAGTTTTAAGATATTAGGCTTACTCTAACGTGTTTCACCACCGAGCGCCGCACCCCACCGAGCGCCGCAGTTCCCCCACTAAAACAACGTCGCAATACTTCTTACGCAACACCACTATAATTTTTAGTAATAAATAGAATAAGATGTTATTCTTTAGATGCGTCGCTATCCTCTGTATCCTCTAATTCTACTTGGTACGTACGGGAGTTATGTCCAATTTGGCTACAACGCCCGCAGCGCCGTTCAGTACGCACCCTCTTCGCAGGCGTTGCACCCTTATTAGAGCCACTACCCTCTACCTCAGCGATCTGATCAGCTATCTGGCTAACTGTCTGGGACCCCTCTGCCTGTATATAGCGCCGCTTACGAGTTTTTCGCTTTGTTAACGCTTTAATAGCGTCTCGTAGGCGACTTATTTCCTCCTGCATTAATACTATATGATAAGCGATCTGCTGGGCTCCCTTACTTAACTGCTGCATCTGCTCCTTAAGAGACGTTGTAGGAGACCCTTACTAGATTTGCATGCGGTTTCGAATAAGCGTAGCCTGCGCCTCTAATTCGCGCGCGTTGCGCGGCGTTTTCGGCTCCTATATAGCAGTCTCTTGCGCCGGTGGAGTCGGCGTACGCAACACGACGTTAAGCTGTGATAAAATAATATGATAATCGTGTGGAGTAAGCCTAGCACCTCGAAACCCTCTACGGATATTCTCTGGTGTAATAGCCTTATAATAGGCCTGTTTAAACGCTGGTAGGAAGGTTTCTTTGCTGATATGGTAGATGCGATTGCGTGCCAAGACCGAGATAGCATCACCATACGCGCGCTTCAACGGCGAGAAGCAGCCCACATCGAGAGGCTGTAAGAGGTGCGACGAGTGGGGAGGCATATAGAGGAGGATTATCTTTATCTCTTCGCAGAGATCTTAGAAAGCTACTAAGTAGTGGCTCTTATGGCCGTTAATAATGAGCAGCCTATGCGTCCCTACAGGCCGCGCATAGGAATTGAAGTGACGAAGCTAGTTAAGCGCTAGATCGTTGTTCGTCTAGCCTGTAGGACTAACCTAGATTACCTAGTCGCGTGGTAGATCCTCTGTGAACTAGGTAGAGATTAGAACCTTGCCTGTGAAGATAAGAAACGCTGGGATACGCGTGCCTGTTGCGCTAACGCCTTGTATCAGCGTAACCCACTCACGATTACCTAGCTGGATCTTCTTTATTCTTTCTGGTTTGTCTGAGCCCGTAATAACTGACTGTGATAAAATCTTGCCTATAATAAAGCTAGTCTTATTAAAGTTATAGATGTCTTCGTCTACGATACTATACTTTGCCTTTGTATTCTAAACTAGCTCGAACTAGCCCTTAATAAGCGCTAGGTCTTCGCAGAGAGCTCGCTAGTGATTGTATGGACGGCTCTAGCGCGTACGCAGCTCAGGATTGCGCTGGACAAACCTATCAACCTAGTTCTTGCTAACCTCCTTCCCGCCACGCTCTCGGAGCAGTCTATTGGCTATATCTCGCACGTCGTCTCTCCCACAGAGTAGTCCTCGCTCGGCCTTAACTATTACACGCCTAGTAATAGCCTTCTCTTCTAGTTTTGTTAGGCGCTTATAGTTGGGCTCGTAGTTGCGTCGAGAGTGCTTCCCGTCGCGTCGTCGACGTATTATTCGTTCAGGGACGTTATAGATCTTTCCAGCACGTCGAATACTTTAAATTTGGTTTCTAGAAAGCTTAGAGACTGCTATTTGCACGTCAGCTTTAGTATACTCTCTCTGGGTTTGTAGTTGTTAAGACATCACGCGTTATTGTTGGGACGTTGTTTTAGTGGGGGAACTACGGCGCTCGGTGGGGTGCGGCGCTCGGTGGTAAAACACGTTATATAATTATTATATTATTTTATTATAGCTTAATATTATATTATATATACTAACTCTACTAGCGTAAGAGACTACTATATAGAAGCTAAAAACGCTATATAACGTGCGTAAATTAGAGACGTAGGCTATACTTATTTAAAACTATATATAAATCTAGTAAGAGTCTCTTATAATATCTTTTAAGAAGTAGATATAGTAGTTAAGTANGAGAGCTTAGTAGATTACTTATTATATAGTATTAATATAAAAGAAAATAAGTCGCCTATAAGTATAATAGCGTAGGTAAGACTACTTAGATTAGTATTAGTAGTAGCGTTACTTAGAGGTATATAGAAGTGCGTAGAATATTAAATAAGCCTTAATTTAAATAGACACCTATAGGCCTTATATAAAAGAATATTAAAAGTCTACTAAGCTAGCTATAGAGTATATCTTAATAAATACTTATTCTAGTTAGATCTAAATTAGGTCCGACTAAGAACGAATAACTAACGAAGAAGAATAGTAAATATTTTCTCTAATTTAGTTCTAGAATCCGTCTAATACTTAGTAAGGCTATAATATTATTATACTACCCCCCTCTCTATAGATAGCTAGTCCCCTAGCTATAAAACTTCTAATACCTCTCTATTATAGTTCCTCTACACTAGCGTAGAGAACTATTTTAGATAACTTTTAGCCTACGTCTAGATACCTATCTTTTCTATTTTCTTTTCTTTCTTTATACTTAATTATTCTATAGTAAAGTTATATTATCTATACCTTTCTTCTAAGCTTAAATCTACTAGTTAAGAGTCTAAGAGAGTTTTAGCTTTAAGAGGTTTTTCTTATAGAACTCTCTAAGCTTATAAGAAGCTTTTATAAAGTTAAAGATAGAGTACTAGATAGAATCTAGATTATATCTAATCTAGCTTATTTAGTACTTTAACTTAGTATAATATAACTTACTAGTAAGGATCTAATCTACTTTCTACTCTTCTATACCTTAAATAAGTACGCTAGAAGGCTTAGAAGCTTCTTATTCTAGAAGAGAATTCTATAGGTCTTTATATAATAGGTCTAGAGTAAATATATTATAGATATAGAAGCCTTCTAGTAGTTAAAGTTAGTATAAGTAGCTAACCTTCTCTAGAACCTTAAAGAGACTCTTCTACTTAGTAGTAAGCTTCTAGCTTAAATAATTAATCGTAACGTTCTTAGTATCTAAGAATACTATATTACTAACGTCTTAATTAATAAAGTAATAATAGTAGTTAATAGCGAATTATATCTAGTTCTAGGCCTTCTCTATTTACTACTTAGTAGTATCCTATATAGTATATATATAGGTAGTAAGTACTAAGATATTCTTATAGTTAAGTTTATTAGTAGGCGTAAGGATACTAATTAGGTACTTCTAGTTCTAGCTCTACTTAAGTTTAGATCTATATAGAATACAATATAAAGATATACTAATAGAGAAGTAAGATAGAAAAATTTAGATATAATTAATTAGAGGTAGTAGCCTACTCTAATTATCTTAGTAGTAGAATATAAATAGACGTAGTCTCTAGTTAATATACTTATTTATAATCTCTATCTAGCTATTAGTTTCTTTATAGTAGATAGTAGATAGCTTAACCTTAACGCCTAAAATCTAATAGAATTTAGACTAAAAGCTAGATATAAACTATAGATCTTAATTAGAGATAATAGTCTCTAGAGTATATCTAAATTAGTATATCTACTAGATAAAGAGTTTAGCTATACCTCTTATATCTATTATTTTATAATAAAGAATAGAGATAGCCTATTTAGATAACTAGTTAATTACGACTATAATCTAATTATATCTAGTTTTATTTTTTAAGAACTTCTTAAAGTTAATATAAAGGTATTATATTAGCTAGTTAGAAATTAAAAGAGAGTAAATTAGCTCTAGAACTTAGATCTATCTTAGATATACTTTATAGTAGACTAGGTAGTTCCGCACGTACCTCTTATAGATAGCTTCTATACCTTTCTAATAGTATTTCTAAGATAGTAACTAATAAGTCTTCTTTATACTTAGGTAGGCTAATAAGACCTAATTATAAGCCTCTTAGATTAGTCGTATATACGTAGTAAAGTCTAGCTATACGTAGAGATAGTTTAAGTAAAGTAATAATCTATTCTCTATCTAATACTTATTAGAGAGAGTATAGCACTTATTCTTAAATAACGTGTAGTTTTACTATAGAAGAAGCTTAATTAGCTTAAGAGAGTGTAGGGATATAGCCTTCTAAGTAGACTTAACTACTAGTAGTAAGATAACCTACTCTAATAGTTATTCTATATATACTTTAGTAAGTTTAGAGTTAATTTAGTTATTAAGTTAGTATAGTTCTAGAAGAACCCGCGAATAGTTATTACTTTAGGTAGTTCTTAAGTTCTACGTATCTTACTTATAACGACTAAGAATATTAGTATAAGTATTATTCTTACTAGGCGTATATTAGATATAGAAGTTAAATAAGATAAGCTATTCTATCTATCTTACTTATTAGTGTAACGGCGCAGGCAAGACTACTCGGATCAGTATCGGCGG